AAACGGGGGTCCCCCCCCCCCTTCTCCCCCCCCTGGGTTTTTTTTTGCCTTGTTTCGCTGGGGGAAATTTGGGTGGTTTTTTTTGGGGGGCAACCGGGGTTTGAACCCCGGGGGTGGGTTCCCGGGGGGGTTCCGGGTTTTTCGCCCCCGGGGTTGGGGGGTTTTTTTCGGTTTTGTTGTTCGCCCCACCCAAACAGAAAAAAAGGGGGGGGGGGGGGGGGTCATGAAAAGCAGTTAAGCCTATGAAAGACCTCGGCGTTGGGCAATGGGGGCGCTTATATAGCAGTCTAGCAAGTCTTGTGTGTGCAACAAAAACAAGAGATCATGACCACAATGGCCGGGACCTTCCGCAAAATGCTTGCCCCAACTTGCGTCTTTTTCCGGCTCACCTCTCCTTGGAATTTGACCTTCAAGTATGGGTGGATCAGTCGGGAGCTTTCGGCTGACGGGAGGTTGCGGCCCTGCAGATTATTTTGAGGGGGGGGGGGGGGGAGGATTCAGTCAAGCATCCAAACCTACACGAAAGACAACTGCAACATGTAGCGTGAACGCTTGAAACCCTCTAACTACCAAGTGAAGCAGCGCTCTATATACAACGGTAGCGTGGAGAGGATCCAGGATCGAATACCAACACATGCATGGATATTGAGGCGTGGCAACTCGACACAACAACCGATAACAACAAACACGACCGTGGCAACAAAGAAGCACGTGTATGTGCATACATCAAAGCAGCAGCAGCAGCAGCAGCAGCAGCAGCAGCAGCAGCAGCAGCAGCAGCAGCGACAGCACTAACAACGACGGCAGCCACAGCACACACGAAAACAGCTGCAGCAACAAGAACAACACCCAATGACAACAACAACAACAGCAGCAGCAGCAGCAGCAGCAGCAGCAGCAGCAGCAGCAACAAACACAACACACCTGGTAGAGGTGGACCCTGAGTTCGTACGCCTCCCTCCTGAGCAGGCCCTGAATCTCGTCCTTCCACTTGCTCTTGTTGGTGATGTACGACTCGATCGGCCCGAGGCCCATTCGGATCAGAACCGATCCGGGGAACTCGTTGTCGACCAAGAGATCTAGCACCTGAATTAATTAATCATGAATACGCGTTAAGACGGACGATTTGGAAGCTATGTAACGCGCAAGACTAATACTGTTCGGGATATGTATCAGCGGCGGTTTGTCGCTGTTGTTCATTGTGTTTGTCGTTCCACTTTATTCGTTGCTCTCGTCAGCGTTGCTGCGATCCATTGCTGTTGTCAGGCATTACTTTTGTCTCTCTCTCTGAGTCGTTGCTGCCAACCCTTCTCTTGTCGGCCATTGCTACTGTCTCTCGAAGTGGGCCCATTGCTGTTGCTCTCTCACTAAGGATACCGACCGACAATATCGCGGCGACCACACTACACACCCAAACAACACCGTTAGTGAATTGCATGCATGCATGCATGCCACCGCCGCGGCGTGATGATCTGGTGCTTTCTACCTACCCAATCTGTCCCCAGAAAGAGAGAGAAAAAATAAAAATAATAATAATAATTCCTATGATGCTTCTGGGTGGCCGGCCGGCCTTCCGCTCGTGTGTGACCCCGGACGGTGCGTCCAAACAAACCAAACGTGTACAATAACCGACGTATGCAATCACTATTTATTGCACCTTGTCTTCTTGCAGCCTGATCCACGTGGGGGCACCGCCGAACTTCTCTTCGATGAGCTCCTTCGCCGGAAACCGCCTGAACGAGCAAGGTTCCGCGTTCGTGCCCGTACCCTGCAAAAAAATAAATAAATAAAAGACGCGCACGATTACTAAAAACTCAAGAAACAGGAGGAAACAACTTCCCAAGTAGGATAAGAGAGATGAGAAAAAAAGGCACTGAAAACAACCACGGCTGTTTGATTCCACCTCCAACATGGACGGGAAGGAATATTGCGCAGCCGAGGCAGTGTCTGCGTACTGTTGCAGCGCGTGCCAGGACTTTTCACTCCACCAACAGGGGCAAGAGAATCAAACTTGACCGAAACGGAAACAACAGCAACGGCCGCAGCAACGACAACAACAGCAGCATTAACACGGCAGCAGCAGCAGCAGCAGCAGCAGCAGCAGCAGCAACAGCAACAACAACAACAACAACTCACGGCCATAAGGTGAACGATGAGGTCGGGGCACTGGTCGGGGTCCGCGGTGAGGTTGAAGTTGCTCTTCAGCTGGAGCGACTGGTACCACTCGCACACACCCTTGTTGTTGTCCACGGGCTCGGTGGACAGCTCGTACCGCCCCACGGAGACGCGAATCCACCTGGCATGTCACACATCACACGCCACAAGTCAATAGCAGCAGCAGCAGCAGCAGTGGCACAGAAGAAAACAGAACTAGAAGCACAGTTTGGTCATCATCATACAACCCAATGAATTATTGATTGACGAATAAATTCATTCTTAACGTGTACCCCCGACTCTTTCTCTGTGGACAGAGGTGACTTTTTCGGTGTGTTCTTGAAAGAAAGTAAAGAAAAAGGTACACACAACGGCACTCGACAGAACACTGCTGTGCCCTTTATTGCCGAAACAAACCCTAGAGGGGTATTTACCCCCCTTTTTTTACCCCTTTTTCGCTGTTTTCCTCAAAAAACCTCTCGTGTGTGGCTTCTGCTGCCGCAAAACCACAAAACTGCACGATACACCAACCCGATGGACGATGCGCGGGCATCCACAAAGCATTGGCCGACGAGGGAACAAGCATGTGGTGGGGAAGGGGTTGGGGGGTGTACTCATAGCCGCGCATGCCGTACTCGTTAGACCATTGACCTCGCATCCCTATAAAGCCAGGATGGAGCACGCCGGGTTATCACCAGACCAGCCTATTTAGCACATGACCAAGAGCGCGAAGCGCCGTGACGTAGGGGACGGGGGGGTAGGGGGCACTGACATCTTCTTGTTCTTGCCGAAGTTGGTCACGTCGGTGAACTGGGGGATCTCCGTCCCCGCGCCGATGAAGATCCGCATGGCGTACTGAGCGGCCTTGGGCACGGCCGGCGACTTGATCTTCCTTCTCCACGCCACCTGTTGTGGTGTTGGGGAAAGGCGTTACGACTTAAGTTCCCGTTCATCTTGTTATTTTTTTTGTTGGGTCGTGTTGTCCGAGTACGGTTTCCATCGTTTACAACACATTAGCCGTCTTTGTACCCGGCAGCCAAGACCATGACGCCGGCAAGGTACGGAAAGGCACAAGCAAGACATGAAACGTCACAAGCCTTGGGGGAGGTGAAACGGCGGAGGGGGGAGGAGATCCCTATCAATAGTCGCGATTCTGTTCGTGACATGAGCAACTACAGCGTGATGGTACACCATTCTCCATCGAGTCCAACCATGAGAAAAAGCCCCTACCCCCTTATACCACCCCCCACCTGCCTTAGCCCGTCCGTACTCCAACCAGGATGCCCCCTCAACCTCTGACCTGTTCGTTCATTTACCGCCCTCCCTCCCTTCCTAACGACAGCCCCCTACGCCCTCCCCCCCTCCCTCCCCAACCACTACCGTAGGACCCTCCCCCCTCGATCCCCACGTGCCGTCCTTCCCAAGCAGCGAGACCCCCGCCCCGCCCCCCTTCCATTTGCTGACCCCCCCCCCCCCCTTCCTCTTGGATGTTGTCCTCCTCCTTTTCTCTCACCTTGTCTTTTTCGTGAGCCTTGGGAGCATGCGGGACGATCCTCTCCATCACCAGGACTCGCCCGCGGTAGGTTGAGGCCTTGTCGGGGAAGTTGAGGTACTGGTGCAGGTGGTCCGTCTGCGCCCCTAGCCCCAGCGTGGCCGCCCTCCTCGTCAGCACCTTCAGGTTCCGGGTCTCCGGGATGTGCAGGGGCGGTCCGTATAGGTTCACCCTGGTGTTGTCGTGATGCGAGAGCGGAAGGAATCGTTGTTGTGTGGATTTCGCGTTTGCGTAGAGGTCGCGAACGAGCGCGGAAGGAACTGTTGTGTGCGCGCGACGGACCGTTGCGTGTTTTGGGGGAGTATGCACCGTACTCCTTTTTTCGTATGTTATAGTATCGTTTCGTATGTTTTAGTATCGTACACAACGTCTCGTGCTGGTCTCATGGTGGGAAAAAACTCCAGCTGCTATGCAGGACCAACACAAGCAATGATAGCGACAGCAGTAGCACCGCAAGAAGAAGAACCGAGCGGAACGGCTATTGCTGCCGGGATACCAACAACAGAGCGGCGGGCACTTGCAGGAGCGTTTCACCTTCCTTTGCGGCTTTGGGGGGATTCTTGAGGTCGCTGCTCATACTGATATCTCACCATCTACACGTCACGCGGCCCTTCGTTTCCTTCATTACGTTCTCGATGTGCCGCAGCTTTCCGTAGTAAACCCCGACCAGATCGTTTTCACCCACGGGGTCCCAGTCCCAGATGGAAAACTGCAGACCGGCAGAGAGGGGGCGGGCGCAGAACAAGGGCGGGGGGGGGGGGGGGGGGGGGGGGGGGGGGGCCCTTTTTTTTTTTGGTCCCCCCCGGTGCGGGGGGGGGCTTTTTTTGCCCCCCCTCTTTTTTTTTTTTGGGGGCCCCCCCCTTTTTGTCGGGGGGCGTTGGGGTGTCCCTCCCCCCCCGGCCGGTTTCCGGGGGGGGGGTGCCCCCCCCCCTTTTCCCGGCCCTTTTGGGGGGGGGGGGGGGGGGGGGGG